AAATATTTGGATTTGCAAAGTTCGAGCAAAATCGGATTATCATTTCTCCTTCTGTGCAGCAAAACATTTTTTTTTTAAATTTCGTCCTTTTGGGGGGTAGGTTCCAGTAGGAGTGGACGATATTTTCCATTTCCGAACATGATCTAAGTTTGATAATAATATTACGATGTACCAAGTTTGGACCAAATCGGATACTCCCTTTGCGAGCCAGACAGACGGACGGACGGACATCGCTAGATCGACTCCAAATATCCTGAAATGGATTTGGTCCAAAGAGAGGGTCTAAAACCTTTATTTCGATGAGGCACGTTGTGGGCGTATCAAATGATATATACCCTATCTAGCCGTATGGTTGAAGGTATAAAAATCTGTCTACAAATACCCTTTAAATGAAACCCGTTATATGGCGGCTATAAGAAGACGTGGATCTGCATAAACAATTTTCCGTCATAGACTGTAGTAACCATTACGGACTTCAAACTTTGTGGGATCTAACATTTATATTTCTAGGTGTTACAAATGGAATGAGAAACTTAGTATATCCTCCATGCTATGGTGGAGGGTTTAAAAATCCACTCAACTTCCAAGGTCTTCTAGAAATTATTTTACTTTCACTCACAATTATATTCAAATGTTTACATATCTTTGCGAGACTTAACGCTAAATTTCAATCTCTCTCTCTCTTTTTTGCTCTCTTCAGCCCCAATATCACTCAACGTCACAAATGGGCATGTTGTCAAAGCATGTTGTGACATTTTGAACACAAAGAAAACAATGTTTTTTTTTTTTTTTTGTTTATGATAACAGTCATAAAAGCAAATTTTTATCTCAACCCCAAATTGGTATTAAATGGTAGAAGTTCGATAAATACCTAAGTGATGGTTTTATGGTCTCATTTTTATAGAAATATTACTTTGGGCAACTGAATATTTGAGTGCATAGCTATTGAGGACCTTTGAGCATGCCTATAAAGAACTGTATAAGAAAGCTCGGTAAGAGTAGAATTTACTCGAATTTTAGCCAATTTTGCTCCCATTCAAACAATTGAGTTTGCTCGATTTCCTTCTGCTTTTATTTCCAAAATCTCTACATCTTGATACCGCAAAACCACTGTTCAACCTGTCTAATTTATATGCATTTCAAACATATGTGACATTTTTTGTTTGGGGGGTCAACAATGGGCATCGAACAGGTTTACCCAAATCTCTATGCCCTAATCGCGCACACACACAAAATACTTACTTCGGACACCCCATGCATGTATGATGTATGAGTGTTTACATTTTCTACGTCATTTATTTGGAATTTATCGGTAATTAATTACAACAATCATTGCCCACGTCTTATTACCTTTTGAAAAAAGCACTCAAACACAACACAATTCATTCAATACGATCGGTTTTCTTGTCTTGTTGTTTTCTTTTTCCTTAAATTTGATTAATATCTGTTATTTTGTTTTGCTATTATCCAAAATAATATACAAAATTCTATTATAGCATGAATGGTAAAATATGTTTCATTTTCGATTTCGTTCGTTTGTTCGTTCGACATTGGTTTAAATGTTTGAATGCTCAACATGTTCGTATGGCGCTTCTTTGAATTGTTTCTTGCTCGACTCGACTTTGAATTGTTTCTATTTCAAAATTGTTCCCTAATTTTTTTCTTTTTTGATTTTTGGAGGGTAATTTGTATATGAGCTATTCCCAATGGTATTTAACTAATTGTTATTCTAAGGGAGTGCGATTTGTAGTGGATTTTAATGTTATTTATTTAACGATTTTTTAATTACACTCGAAGAAAATAGTTAGTACATGCTAGAAGTGATTTTTATATGAAGGTACATATGGAGTTAAAGGGAGGTTCTATTATTAATTTCGAACTGGTAAACCAGAAAAAAATTAAGGGGCTGTATGAGCCAAATAATATATCAAAGGTTAAAGGACCTAGACCCTACAAAGTATATATTTTCTAGATCAGCGTAAAATTCTAAGACGATTTAACGATGTCCGTCTGTCTGTTGTAATCACGCTATCTTTCGAACGAATTGAGATATAAGGCTAAAATTTTGCATACATGGATAAGTTATCAGTAGGCGAGATTAAGTTCGTAAATGGATCATGTCGGTCCACGTTTTAGTATAGCCCCCATATATTCGTATAGCCTCCCGATGTTTGGTATTTTTATGATTTTTGCGACATTATTCACCGGAATTGTAACAAATTTCGTATTTAAAGTTCGAAATGGCTACTACAGCCTATGACAAAAAAATCGTGTGTAGGTTCAGAGGGAGTAAATATTTTTACCTCGTTATTGCTCTTAATCTAAACACTTAAAATATTAGATTTTCTGTAGTTTGGGGGAGGAGGCATTAGAAGGAATCGAGCTCAATTTGATATTTGAAGTTCGTAATGGGTACTAAATTCTATTAAAAAAATTCGTAAGCAGGTCCACGTCTTCGGATAGTCTCCATATAAGAGTTTTCGTTGAAGTTGTACTTTCTGAAGTTTTTTTTTTTAATGGTGGAGGGTATTAAAAGATCGGCTCGGCCGAACATTGCTGCTTTTTTACTTATTTTTAATCTAAGCACTTAAAATATTTGCCTTTACGTTGTTTGAGGAATATATGGGGGGAGGCATTAGAAGAAATCGAGCTATGTTTTCAATTCTCACCTCACCTCGAAATATTGGTAGTATAGTTATCATATGGTATAGCAATCAATATATCACGACGAGTTTATTTGATCTGGCTGTGTGTGTGCAAATACCATTTTTATGCAAATCCGTGGGAAAAATGTGGCTAAAACTTTTAAAATACCGAATATAGGGAGGTACCGTTTATGGAAGCTATACCAAAGCGTGGGCCGATATGTCTCATTTTCCATACCAACCATCCTTGTCACAATACAGACAACTGTGGAAAATTTTTAATCTCTACGTGGGCTGTATCGTGATTTCATGGCGAATATTTGTAGGTGTTGCAGACGGAATGACAAATTAAATATACCCTCTTTTCCAAGGTTAGGGATATAAAAAGGTCGAATGGACCAAATTTTTTATGTAGAACATTCGAAACTTTCTATTCAATGCGAATATTATACTAAAGTTAAATTGGCCCACCCGAAAATTATGTATCGTACTTCTTTCAACAAACACCAGCCCTTTTTTGATAACCTCAGCCATATGACTACGGATGGTATATATCATTTGATACGGCCAGAAAGTGCCTCATGGAAATAACGGTTTTAGCAACTAGGTTTCTAGGGGTGTCCGTCCGTCCGTTCGTATGACTGGTTGGTGGGCACAATAACTCTCGACGGGAGTATCCGTTTTGATCCATACTTTGTTTATCGTAATATTATTATTAAAACAAGTAAAAAAGCTGTAAATTCGGCCAGGCCGAACTTTGAATACCATCCAACATTTGGAACGAATATGGACAATTTTCAGAAAATAAAATCCGTAAAAAATTTTGTTCAAATCTTAAAAATATCGAATGTAGCACTTATATAAGGGTCTATACGACGACGTGAACCTGCATAGGCAACTTTTGTCATAAGTCACTAAAATATTCAAATGCGAAACGGTAGTATCTATTACGAGCTTCAAATAACAAATTTGAAACAACTCCCATGAATAATGTTGCTAAAATCACCAAAATACCGAATATCGGGAGGTATCGTAATATAGGGGCTATACGAAGACATGGACCTGCACAGACAATTTTTTGTCTTAGGTTGTAGCATCCATTACGAACATCAAATACCAAATTTGAAACAATTCCGGTGAATAATGGCGCTAAAATCATCAAAATACCGAATATCGGGAGGTACCGTTATATGGGGGCTATACCAAAACATGGACCTATATGGCTCATTTTCAATAACAAAGGTCATGCAGACATAGTATACATTTGAGTAAAATTTTATCAATCTACTTCAATTCGTTCGGAAGCTAGAGTGATTTCCACAGACGGGCACACGGACGGACATCACTAAATCGACATAAAAGTTTATGCTGAACAACAATATATATACTTTGTGGGGTCTAAAATGTATATTTCGAGGTGTTACACACGGAATGACAAACTTAATATACCCTCCATACTATGGTGGAGGGTAAAGGAAACATTAGAATTCATTATGACCCACAAATACCAATTTTTAGACATATTCATGGGAAAATGTGCCGAAACTCATCAATATACCGAATATTGGGAAATTCCGTTATATGGGGTTATACAAAAACGTGGACGTATATGTACAATGTTTCGCCAAAGGAGCTAGAACCCATTAGGACAAATATCAATTTTTAGACAAATCCGTGAAAAATGTGACATAACCCATCAAAATACCAAAGATCGGAGGTACAAATTGTTCTGCTAAATTTTGACGCTCTACGTCAAATAATGTGTACTGTATCGTGATTTCAACAGACAGACGGACATGATTATGAATATATATACTTTATGGGGTCTACGACACTTATTTAGGGATGTTACAAACGGAATGACAAAGTTAATATACCCCCCTTTTCAAGGTGGAGGGTATTAAAATATTTTCCGTGTAAAATGTTTCATTTACCCTCTGCATAGAACAAGAATCGAACCCCATGTCTATTTCTCTCAAACACTTTTCCTATGAATCCACGCTCTCTCATTTACCACTTGTCGTCACAATGACTCCAATTTTTAATACCAAAAAAAAGCCCTAAGAGACAATTAAACCCTAATTAGCAATCCACGTTCCGGCACCTGTTCTCGTCTGAAATTTCCCATATACCGAAAAAAATTTGTTATGTTTATGTTGTTGTTGTTGTTGCTATCGCCGTTGTTGCTGCAACTGATATTTATTTGTGAGTGTATTGTGGTGATGTTGTTGGCTTGGTTTTGTTATTGTATTCACATGTTGCCGATGTTGTTGTTGTTGTTGTTTTGCTGTTACTGCTGCCGCTGCTGTCTGTATTCTTTACGAACTAGGTCTATATGGTCAGTTCCCTTATAGCGTTTTGTATTCAGTTTAGTTTTTACAGTCGTCGTTGTCGTTGGCCCACCAACTTTTGTTCGTACACGGCGCCGCGCATTAACCTATCTCACGTCGTGTAAAACAGAAATCAAAGTCAAAACAATCGACGAATAAACGACCGTTATCAAGAACTTTTTTTTGAATATATTTAATTTTTATTTAATTTTTGTTTTTTGCATTAATTGTGAGTAAAGTCCAAGTACATGAAACTAGGAATAATATATTCCATTAAATTCGTATGGAAATTTTTATAAGGAAAAAATGTTATTTTTATAGTGGTCTGATATTTTTTTGAAAATTTTGAAAAAATAAACAATATTTTTAAAAGTATAAAAACAAAATGTTGGAAAATAATATATATGGATGAAAATTTATGAAAAAGTGAACTTTGTTTATAATATTTTGTTATTCGAAAGAGATAACATTTAAGCAAGACATTTCAGTCAAAAGTTCAATGGAAATATATGGAAAGCTGAAACAATGTATAAGATTAATAAAAAAATTATAAACCAACTTATACGGATTAAATTTGGGCACTATGACCAATTCGATCATAGATCCATTTTGATCCTTAAAAAAATTGATTGATCCTCGTTGATCCGAAAAAAGAATGTTAAAAGCAATAAACATTTAGTCAATATGTGTATTCCTTTTGTTCAGAATAAAAGAAATGAAATTTTGAAATCTGGTGACTCCAGCCTTGCCATTTTTGTAAACGCCAAATAGTCAAGTGGCTGTAATTTAAATTAGTGGCCGGGCCGAACTTTTAATACCCTCCACCATTTCCATGTTATACGAAGACGTGGACCTGCATACAAAAATTTTTGTCATAGGCTGTATTACCCATTACGAACTTCAAATACGAAATTCGAAATAATTCCGGTAAAAAATGTCGCTGAAATCATTAAAATACCGAATATCGGGAGGTACCGTTATATGGGGGCTATACGAAGACGTGGACCTGCACAGACAATTTTCGGTCATAGGCTGTAGTATCCATTACGAACTTCAAATACCAAATTTGAAAAAATTTCGGTGAATAATGTCGCTAATATCACCAAAATACCGAATATTTGGGGGTGCCGTTGTATGGAGGCTACACTAATACGTGGACTTACATAGACCTACATAGACAATTTTCCACCATAGGTTGTAGTACCCATTACGAACTTCAAATTAGAAATTTGACTCAATTACGGTGAATACCGAATATCTCGGGTCTCGGAAATAGCATCAAATTTTAGAATAAGTTTAGATTTGTTCGAATTGATAACCTTTGACACGAATTATGGCCTTCAAACGGCCAATGAAACCGTCACAAGCTGCCCAAACGTTGCTCTGCGGTATTTTGACCCATTCTCGGCGAAGCGCTTGCTTGAGGTGATCGACAATTTGGTAATTTTTAGTGCCATCCTTGCTTTCCTAAATACTCCAGACACAATTTTCCAACTAATTGGTATCTGGAGATTTTGGTGGTCATTGTGCGCTGGAAATGAAGCGAGGAACCTAATTTTGTAACCATTCTTGGTTGGCGCGTGCTGAGTGCGATGGTGCTGAGTCCTGTTGGAAAGTCCAACGTCTGCGGGCAAAATGTTTGCGTGCCCAAGGCTTTAATATACCCTCCATAATATTTTCGCAATAATATTCGGAATTTTTTCTGATGCCACGGTCGATTAATACGAAGCGGAGAGCGACTATCGGCTATTAGGCGGCTCACACCATCACCATGGCCGGCGCTTGAATTCTGGTGGCCAACCGAAGATGCACATTTTCAGCTGACCTCTTTGGCAAGTAAACACGATCATTTTGTTTGTTTACAAACTGCTGGACTACGAATGTTTTCTCATCGGAGAAAACTAAATTCGGCAGTTCACAAATTTCGGCCAAGCGAAGCAACTCTTTAGCTTTTTTGAGTCTATTTTCTTTCTGTTGCGGTGTAAGTTCTTGCACTTTTTGAAATTTAAATGGCTTTACCCCGATCTCATTTTTCAATATTTGGCGAATGGAATATTGCGATATGTTCAGGTCACGAGCCACAGCGATGCGGGTTTCGATCAATTCGCTTCTTTACTTTTCGAGCTATTTCTGTTGATGTTGCTGTTTTCTTCCGATTACAGCTGAGATAGAAAATTGTATATGCAGGTTTAGGTCTTCGTATAGTCCCCATATACCGGTACCGTCATATGTTCGGTAGTTTTCCGATTTTAGTTACAATATTCACCGGATATAACGGTTCCTGGCTATATTCCGTATTTTAATCATTTTAGCGACATTATTCACCGGAATTGTTTCAAAATTTGTTATTTGAAGTTCCTAATGGTTACTACAGTCTATGACAGAATTACCTCTCTTTATTCGGCATTTTAATGATTTTAGCGACATATTCATCGCAATTGTTTTAAATTTCGTACTTGAAGTTTCCGAGGCGTACTACAGCCTGTGACGGAAAATTCTCTATAGAGGTCCAGGTCTTCATTTAGCCCTTATATATCGGTACCTCCCGATATTCGGTATTTTGATGATTTTAGCTACATTGTTCATCGGATTTTTCCTATTTGAATATTTTAATGGCCTATGAAAAAATTGCCTATGCAGATCCACGTCTACGTGAAGACCCCAATATAACGACGACTTTCAATGGTCGGTATTTTTAAAATTTCAACAGAATTTTCAACGGATTTTATTTTATTGAAAATTTCAAAATTCGTTACAAATGGTGGAAGCTATTTAAAGTTCGGCCCGGTCGCAATTACTGCTTTTTTGCTTGATATTAAGATAAGATCTGGTGTAAAGATATATATATCGGTCCACTCGATCTGGTACCTCCCCCACAAAGGGGTCAACATTTTATGTAGCTATGACGTTCATAAAAAGCGGAATGGGCATCCAATTATTTTCAAACTTGTTACATCACAAAATTTTTTATCGATACATAATCAAGTGTGAAGATGGAATATGTCAGGTCAATTTTTCTGGTACCTCCCCCACAACGGGTATACATCTTGAACAATTTTATGCCTCATAAAATGCCAAAAAGGCAACTGATTCTCTTCATATTTCACAAATCCCAACATTTCTACCAGCGCAAGATCTGATGTAAAGATGGAACATATCAGCCCACTCGTTCTAGTACCTCACCCCAAAGGGGCAAAATTGTGAATAACCATGAAGCTCATAAAATGCGAAATAAACATCCGATACATTCTAGACTTCACCCATTAGAATGTTTCTACTAACACAAGATATGAAGGGCTCACAGCTATACCGAACTAAGTCATAAAAACATAATTCCAAGATATTTAGAGGTAAAGTAAATGTACTGCAATTAATTTCTGGAAGCAATATTTTAGTCTACCAAAAGAAAATGTAAAAGTCTATATTCAAAATTAACTAATGATATAAAGTTAAAAGAAAAATAATTTAAATATATTACTAAAAAAATATTCAAAAACAAAAAACCTGCTTTGGTTCGTTATTACTCTGAATAAAATTTGAAGGTTTTACAGCTAAAGCGAACCAAGTCAAAAAAATAAATAAATTGTTCATTTTATTACTAAATATAGTTGATGTTCCGCTTGTAATAAGCAACTGATGTTGATAGCTTTGGAAAAGGCAATGCTTTTTGAATGTCGAAAGTACAGAAATAGTGCTCATCAGATGGCACTTCTGTATTCAGTGAGTCTCGAGCTAGCTGTGCTGCTTTTATGTGAAGTTCCTTTTGCCAAATTAAATTTGTATTTTCGTCTTCATCGAATTTTATTTTCATGTTAAGTTCATCACATATACGAAAGTTATCCTTATTCGGTCAGTGCTCCAGTGGTCCATTCCAACAAGTACCTCCCCCACAAAGGGTAAAAATGTTGAATAATTATAACTCTTATAAAATGTGATGAAATTTTCCGATTGTGTTCAAATTACACAGATCAGAATATTTTTATTAACCCACGCTCTGCTGTGAATATGGAATATATCGCTCCACTACCTCTGGTATCATCCCCACAAAGGGTCAACATTTTGAATATCCATGAAGCTCATAAGACGCGATATTATTCGATTTCATTCAGATTGGGTACATTTAAAAATTTCCTTCAACACAAGATCTGTTATAAAGATGGTAGAGATCGGACCATTTCTTCTGGTACCTTCCCACACAGGGTTCAAGATTTTGAAAAACAAAACTGAAAGAAAACGAAATAATCATCCAACTCCCTTTAGATTTCACACATACAAACATTTTCGCTAACACAATATTTGTTGTGAAGATGGAATAAATCTGCGAACCCCTTCCGGTGCATCACCCACAAGGGGTCACAATTTTCAATGCCTTTATCTGTCATAACTTGCGAAACAAGTCGATGATTATTTATGCTATATCTAAATATTTCTCTCAACCAGAAACATGAGATGAATATGGAATAATGTACGATTTTCTTGTAATTGTGCCCATACTAATATTTAATGTGTATTAGGAAAAATAATATCAAATAAAAAAGCAGTAAGTTCGGTCGGGCCGAGCTTTGAATACCCTCTACCATTTGGAAAGGATTTGGATATTAAAAAATACTTTTAAAAATCATTAAAATACCGAATATAGAGAGTTATCGTAATATGGGGGTATATACGAAAATGTGGACCTGCACAGCCAAGTTTTGTCATAGTCCATTACAATATTCAAATAGGAAACTTGAAAAAATCCGGTAAATAATATCGCAAAAACATCATAATACCGAATACGAAATATGAAAAAAATTGGTGAATAATGTCATTAAAATCATCAAAATACCGATCATTTCCAATACCAAAAGCCCTGTAGACCAAACACACATCTGAGTAAATTTTATCAACCTACTACAAACGCCTCGGAAGCAAGAGTGATTTCCACAGATGGACAGACAGATGGATGGACATCACTAAATCGACATTGAATCATTGCTGATATCTATATATACGCTGATTCAAAGTGAAACACACTGACTTGGTTCATTTTTGCTTTGAATAAAAACGAAAATGACAGTCGTGGACTTAGGTTTTTTAACGTTATCTTTGGAACGAAACACTTTTTAACATTGTGCTTTACAGAGTAAACAGAGTTGCCATATGCGGGGACATTGGCACTAGTTTCGGCATTTTTTATTTTTCATGACTTGGTTCGGTATAGCAGTGAGCCCTCCATATGTTGTAAAG